TCATACTACTACTACTACTACTACTACTATTAACAATAAATTGTTATTATTCTGTCTTGGATTGTTATCTTAGGCCAGTATATAGCAAAATCAAGAAGGCTTGAGCCAGCTCCGTTTGACAAGCTCTTTGCTGAAATGTCGTTGTACTTTTACATAAAAAGTCAACTGAATAATCTCGTCCTTACTATCGATGGTTTTACACTGGGTGGTTTACTCGTGATGTACCCAGCATATGGGGGTGCTAATCAGCTGTGGACATGAGGACCAAATGACACCCTTTCAGTAAAATGGGCCTGGTAGTAGACATCAGTTGTGGAAATAGAGATGCAGGGGCCGAATGCATAATATTGGCTATTTTCCAAATGGTGGTGTCAACCAAAAATGGATCTATAGAAATGGCCAGATAGTGAGCATCATGAATAATCTTGTTATTGATATACAAAACGGAGATACAACAGTGTCCACCCCAGTTCAGACGTGGCAAGATAATGGAGAACTCCAGCAGAAGTGGTGTTTTGTTCCCGAAAGTGAAATTCCAGCGGGGTTATAAGTGAATGGCATCAGATTTGGCTTTTTGCAAATAATAAATGTTGCAGATTATCTGCAAGAAGGACAAGATAATATTTTATTGTTCTTGTTGAAATCTGTCTATTTACTACTCATAGCATTCAGCAAAGGTTTTTAAATGTATTTTAATAAAGCACAAATCAGTTTCTTTGCTCCACAGTTTTTTTGTGACTAGCCTTAATAACCAAGCTTGACATCTCAAATTAAAAAATTAAATGAATAAAGATTGTACACACCAGCAAATGTTTCACTTTTTCCACTGGCTGTTGGATACCAAATAACTGACTTCTTTTATGTGAAGAAAAGGTGGATATTTCATGCCATGTATAGATACGAAATATTTCATTTCTTTTTTACCCTTTTTAACAACAATTAGCTGTTTTACCCATGACTGAAAAAAGGCATACATGTGGTGGTCATGGAAGCAAGATTGGCCTTTTGCCCCTTTGGCTGTAATGAAACGTGTTGCTTTCCTTTCATGACAAAAAAGATGCAGCTGCTATTGTTAGATGTTTTCAGATCACCAACATCCATGCTGTATGTACATTGATCCAAGCTACCATCATGCCCATTGCTTATGACTGTTATTCTTTGCACTAGAGGAAATACAACCAACATATTACCTTATGACTCAGATCGAGAGAAATATTAACCCTTTAAGCCCCNGTTCCCGAAAGTGAAATTCCAGCGGGGTTATAAGTGAATGGCATCAGATTTGGCTTTTTGCAAATAATAAATGTTCAAGATTATCTGCAAGAAGGACAAGATAATATTTTATTGTTCTTGTTGAAATCTGTCTATTTACTACTCATAGCATTCAGCAAAGGTTTTTAAATGTATTTTAATAAAGCACAAATCAGTTTCTTTGCTCCACAGTTTTTTTGTGACTAGCCTTAATAACCAAGCTTGACATCTCAAATTAAAAAATTAAATTAATAAAGATTGTACACACCAGCAAATGTTTCACTTTTTCCACTGGCTGTTGGATACCAAATAACTGACTTCTTTTATGTGAAGAAAAGGTGGATATTTCATGCCATGTATAGATATGAAATATTTCATTTCTTTTTTACCCTTTTTAACAATAATTAGCTGTTTTACCCATGACTGAAAAAAGGCATACATGTGGTGGTCATGGAAGCAAGATTGGCCTTTTGCCCCTTTGGCTGTAATGAAACGTGTTGCTTTCCTTTCATGACAAAAAAGATGCAGCTGCTATTGTTAGATGTTTTCAGATCACCAACATCCATGCTGTATGTACATTGATCCAAGCTACCATCATGCCCAT